ATTAGTTTTACAAAAGAAAATTTCTGAATTAGAACAGGAAATTATTAATTTAAAGATCTCAAATCCAATTGTTCAGACACAAGCAGGTACTATAGAGCCCAAGAAGTCTATAGCTAGTCCAGCTCAAACGGAAGCTGGTAAAGACTTATCAAATCTGTTTATGGTTCTGGGCTTACCAAAAGCTCAACAGACTCAGGGGACTGTTGATTCTCCTACTTTTCAATTTAATCAGACTCAACAGGCTGAAAATCCTGTTACAGAAAATAAAAATTTTTCTGAAGACCAGACACAGCAGACTGGAAATTCTGTTACTAGACTTATTAGTCCAATAGATCTTAAACAGAAAAGCCCAATTAACTTTCCAGAATCATTTCAATCAGCTCAAGATCCAGAACAGATTTCTCAATCAGATATTAGAAGAATCAAATAAATGTTTGATAAGATTGAAGAAATTCAGCAACAAGTTAAACAAAGTACTACAAAGAAAAAGAAAATACAGATTAGAAAGAAAAATAAAGGAAAAAAGAAAATTGAACAAGAAAAAGATTTGGATAATTTTGAAGACAATAATTCAGAAGAAGATGATAATCCAGAAGGTTGTACTGACGGAGGAGACTCTTTAGATAGCATTGGCAGACACAATTATGAAACAAGATAAGGACTTTTTCAGACATTTGGCAAAAAGACAAGAGTTTTCAGAATAGAGCCAACCACTTGAAGACTTTTATCCATATTTCAAGAAAAAATCAAGAATTATTGCACGAAAAGTAGAAATAGGGATGAATTTCAAGGATTTTCATAACTTGTTTTAACAACCTTCTACAACAGCCTCCAAATCCTTGAAATTCATCCCTATTTCAGGACCCCCCCTCTATTTGGTGTATATATATATATATATATAACTTCTTATAAAAAGGAGAAGGAAGGTCTATTAATCCAATTTTACTATGCATGATGTCATTTTTTATTTTCCATTTTATTTATGTAAAACAAATGTTCTTCTACACATTATGCCACTAGCATTAAAAAAAAAATAATTTTAGTAAATATAAACTGCCAAAAAAAAAACTTTTCTCCGCACAATGTGAAGAGATGGCAAACCATGTGCGCAGAGTTGACAAACTCTCTGTACATACATACATACATACATACATACATACATACATACATACATACATACATACATACATATATATATATATATATATATATATATATATTGTAAATTTTTTTTTTACAACTCATTTTTATTTTCAACAAAAAAACACATTTAAAAATTAGTAATTTCATAATCACTTTTTTTATTCCCGAAAATACAATTATAAAAAAGAAAACAATATTGAATTACAAAAACTAATATCTACCAAATACGGTATCTAAAGACAATATGTGCAAATACGATATGCTATAAATATGGTATGATGCAGATACGGTATACTGTATATATGGTATGATACAAATATGATATGCTATAAATACGGTATACTGTAAATACGGTGTGCTGTATATACGGTATGATGCAAATATAGTATGCTGCATATACGGTAACTGTAAATACGGTATGTTGCATATACGATATATATAATACATATACGGTATGAATGAATCCGATTTCGTCCACTACAATAAATTTCAATACTGCATATGCGGTTTACCGTATTTGCAGCTTACCATATATGCAGCCTATCGTATTCGCAGGCAACTTACCGTATATGCTACCTACTGTATGTGTAGCTTACCGTATATACTGATTCTTGCACTTACAAATACCAAGAGTGCAGAACACCATACATTCACTTATTAAACCGAATGTTAGAAAAATTTCAGATTTTTATTTTTTCAACATAAGTATAAAATAAATATTAAAATATATGAAGGACAAAATATAAAACGCATATGAATATGCAAGTCGATTTATAATTATGCAGTGGCACATATTATACATTTGAAATTTCTTATGTCGATGCAAAATAACTTTGAAGTCATTCTAGAGCGAATTAAACCACTGCAATGTCTATACTAGAAATACAATTGTGCAAATTAATATGAATTAAATCTACATTACAGGGGACTTGGATTTATTTATACCAAATGTTGGTGATTAGTCTAAAGACAATATGTACAAATACGGTATGATATAATACTATATGTTATAGCTAAGATATAACATACTATACGTATATGTTATAATACAATGTTTAACATAATATAATAAGAAATTATTGTTGTACAATTTTTTTTTGTTATATTACAGCAATATGCATATTACAACATATAACTTACCGTATATGCTATAATACAATCTGTGCGGTCATGCAGCGATTTTTTATTTTTTTTTAAAATTTAATCATGCAACCTAATTTTTATTTAGTTTGTTATTTTGTTAGTTAAAAATATGCATTAAATCTAATAAAAAAATATAATTACAAGAATAAGTTTAATTTCAATATAATACAAAAAAATCTCAAAGAAATAATCATTGCTAACAACAAAAGAATCTAAAAAAATGAAGAAGACAAAAACGAAAAAAGTAAAATTTGTGAAAAGAAGAAAATAAAAGCATGATGCCAAAAAGTTTGGCATTATTGTTTGAATGTGAAATGTTTTATTGATATACAAAATTTTTTTGCAGTCATCGGGTTAAAAGTATGGATTTATTGTGTTGTGAATTTTTTTTAAATAATCGTAGTAAATCTTCTTATTACGATAATAAAATTACAATAATTTTTTTTTTACAAATAGTATAAAAAAATCATTTTTATCTTCAACAAAAAACACATTTAAAAATTAGTAATTTCATAATCACTTTTTTTTTTTTAAAATTCCCCGAAATAAAATTATAAAAAAGAAAACAATATTGAATTACAAAAACCAATATCTGCCAAATACGGTATGTAAAGACAATATGTGCAAATACGGTATGCTGTAAATACGGTATGATACAAATATAGTATGCTGTAAATACGGTCTGATACAAATACGGTATGTTATAAATACAATATGCTGCATATATGGTAAGCTGCAAATACGGTATGCGTAAATATGGTATTGTTGCATATATAATATGTAAAGTGCATATACGGTATGAATGAATCCGATTTCGTCCACTACAATAAATTTCAATACTGTATATGTTGTCTACCGTATTTGCAGTTTACCGTATATGTAGCCTACTATATTTGTAGGCGACTTACCGTATATGCTACCTACCATATTGCAGCTTACCGTATATACTGATTTTTGCATTTACAAATATCGAGAATGCAGAACACCATACATTCACTTACCAAACCGAATGTCAGAAAAAAAATTTCAGATTTTTATTTTTTCAACATAAGCATAAAATAAATATTAAAATATATGAATGACAAAATATAAAACGCATATGAATATGCAAGTCGATTTATAATTTTATGCTCAATCTTCAATTTTTCAATATTGAATTACACAAAATTTAGAAATATAATTTTCAAATTCAATTCAATCATATCAACACTATCAAAGAATACAAGCAAAATAGTTTGTATAACCTCGTATATTTCTTATTTAAGTATGAAATATACAAGCATATTTTTTTAGATAACACAATACTGTTGCAATTGTAAAAATAATTTGCAATCATTTTCTTATATCATGAAAATATTTTTAGATATTACTTCAAAAACTTTCTAAACTAAAATTCATACGCTAATAAAAATATGATATATACAAAATTCGTGCAACGCACGTGACAGCGACTAGTATTTTATAAACATCATTCGTCAAATTACTTTAAGCCATACATTTTTTAAAGTTTTCAAGTACTACTATTTATGTGCCACTCATTTTTAAAATTTTAAAATATAAATCGTTTACAAACACTATCCAAACATGTGCTAAGTATCAAGCATGTAGCTAGCTAGAGAAAAAAGTGGAAGAAGAGGAGGATTGGATGATTCGTTGAAAATAGAATGAAGAGCTAGGCCAACTGATTGGCCTTAAATAGCAATAGCTACCAATCATTGATCGTGTATCTAATCCAATGATCTGTATTGCTTTAAATACACTAAAGTTGCTGCAGGGTGGCAATCCAAATAAAAAGCATTCTTAAAGTAGTACTTTTAAACAGTGTTTTAAAAAGCTCCTGCACCGCCTAGGCTCGAAGCTTGGGCAAAATGCCTCACTTCACGTCTAGATGCTTCTTCTTTTCTTCCCAATTCCTAAACGGTCGAATTTTTCCTTCATTTCTTTTGTCTTCTATAGACGCGCTTTATTAATTTCTTTTAAAAGTCTTTTATTTGACTTTAGCTTATTATTATTTCAAAAAAAAAAAAACCTTTCATTTGACTTTAATTTCAAGTTTTTAAAAGATTTTATCAGTACAAAAGTTAAAAATAACTTTATCCAAATAGTTAAATAATATTTAAGTTTTGGTGTTATCTACATTTTGTAATTATGATCTTAAGACTCATTTTATTACAAACTTCAAAAATATTTATGAAGTTACTATAAATTTATTAAGTATGACTTGTCTAGTTGAAAATTGAAATTATGAAAAATATTCTAATTTTTGTATTTCGAAAACTTCAAAATTGTATAATTGACTAATGATAGGAGCTATTAAGTAAATATTGTATTTTATAAATTTAGATATTTAATATGTATTATTTTAAGTATTAAATAATTTTTAAAATGATTAAAAATTTAAAATAATATTATAAATAAGAAAACGCTTTTTTATGTCTAAGCCTTCCCTAGGCCACTTAAGCTCGTAAAGCTTAAAGCTTCGACTCCATGCCTAATAACACTTTACTCTTTTTAGAACACTACTTTTAAATTGATCCCGGTTTAAACTAATCTTGTGAGGGTTTGGACCATGTGGTCTGTCTCCAATTTAGGCCAAACCCTGAAGATCAATCATGGGTCATCACTGCCCGAAGACTTGTTTGCATCACGACTCAACAATAAGTGAATAATCTATTGTATTGATCAACAAATTAAAATAGCATAACAATATTAAATGACACTTTTAATCTTCAAAAAATATATAATAATGTCTACTAAAATGCCAGCGTTAGGTGCCTACTAGGTTTTCATGACAACACAATGTTACTGAATGACTCACAAATAACAATAGTTGCGTAGCAAACTCCAATGAACACACAAAAAAGATGCTTATAAAATAATAACTTTTGAAAAGTGGAAAAGTTAAAATTTTTATGCTTGGTTGTTCTCCTTTTCTTCTCATGACTCTTCGGCCACTTCCCCGCTCACATGAGACTCTGCATTACCTTCCTCTGTTTCCAAGGCTTCTGAAAACACCAAAATTATGCATGCTTCACGATTTTTTAAAAAAATATTTATAATGAGATACAAAAAAAACTAATTTTATTAATTTTTACTTGGTGAAATGTAAATTCAACAAAAGCCTAAATGAAAACTGATGTCATCATAATGGGAACATGAATAATAATAAATTCTGAGGCAAAACTTGAATGGAACTAGAGAACAATGGTGAATTTATACCTGCTGTAGCACTTGCACGAAGTTCTTGTATATCCAAATGCAACTCACCACTTGAAGCCGTAATAATATTCTCACTGCCAGGAGTTGAGTTCGAAATACCATGGTTAGTGTGTTTGAGTAAAGTACGCCATTCGTCAATGTAAATTGACTGTTCGGGTGATAGATTAGGAATTTCACGCTTCTGAAGAGCTTTCAGAATGCCTCGAGTTTCTCCCAAAAGTTGAGTTGCTTCCTATATACTTTTCTCCCGTTCTTCTATGGTGCTATTGTTGCATTTCTTGAGTATAACATGAGGTAAATTGGTCAGGCATGCAGCAAATATATCTGCAACAATAACTGACAATCTCTCAAACACTTGAGCATCTGATGCAAAATGATAACTTTCCTCATACACCAATAGAAAACTATTGCTTATTTTGTACATTGAATTGGCAATTATGATATTTTCAGGCAAGTCAACTGAGCTTTCCATAGCATTTCCATTCATTCTACTCGTAAATTTCTTCAAAATTTCTTCACTTCTATTTGCAAGATTCTGAAGAGTTTCTTTGGAGGATTTTGATATCCTGGCATTTTTTTGGAGATCCATGTCTAACCACTTACGCCTAAATTCAACTAAAACCCATGCAAAATCTGCAGCGCTCGTGCTGCACACAAAACTTTTATGAACATCCAAACTTTTCTCAATTAGGCGCACATACTTAAAACCTTCCATGACACTTCTAACAAACTGACTCTTCTTCTCATTTTGGACATTGGGAAGAGCAATCATGATGCTAGTTAGCGTTGCCACGGATAGACTCCAGCAATTAAGAGGTTCTGTGCAAATAATCGGAGAGACTTGATCACATTCAAATTTTGATACACCCACGAAGCTGGTGGAGTTCTCCATAAGGTCCATTAGATATCTAGGCTGATTCTTTGCACCCATCTTTATGGATGAATTAATAGAAGTGTTAATGAACATCAGGTATCCATCATGTATTACCTCACTTTCTAGAAGTAAAAAAAAATTTCTAAGATCTTGCTCACAACCAACCATGTGTTCTGCTTCATTGGGATTGACCGAGGCCTCAGATTGCCATAAGAAAAAATTCTTTACCATCACCAAGCATCTAACGATTCTCATCCTTGAGACACCAAAAGAGAGTAGGACGGCCAATGGGATTATACCTAGTATGACCGTGGAAACTGGATCCGTGATGAATAAGTAGAGAAATCCACCAATTGAGATGGGGACAAGCAATGTATTCATGATCACAATCACTATCTGACTTCCTATACAAATGTTGATAAGTAGATTTCTGATGTGATAAATGTTGGTGCCTGGCTTATTTGTGAGCGGTAAAGATGGTTGTTTGTGAGTGCATTTTAAATCACAAATTTATGAAATGGAAATGTAGTACAAAACCATAAAACCAAATAAGAAAATTAAAATAAGAAGGAGTAGAAAACGAAGATTAAATCCGAGACAAGTGTATTCACTCTCTCCTTAAGACAATATTGCCCCGATGCTCACGATTGGCGGCAATTGTCTCCCAAGATACAACGGATTCGATTTGTGGTAGTAGCACTTCAAACCACAAATCCGGCGAACTTTCGACGGAGTTTCCCCTCTACAAGGAATATAATATATGAAAAGAGATGAAGAAGAAGAGAATTGCAATTTTGAGAAGAATGAATGCTCAATATGCAAATGGTGTACTCTCAAAGTCATCCAAGGGGTCCTTTATATAGAGAATGGAGTGGTGTGATGAAAGGATTTGAGCCAAACCATACAACGTTCCAAACAGGTGCCACTATTCCAAAACCACAATTTATCATTCATTTTTGAATTGGTTTATTAATAAACACCATTTCCAACAATCCCCCGCATGAATGAAAATTCGAGTACATAAGTATCATGCAATGCAATGATGATGCATTATGCATTGTAGAGAGTAAGCGGAAAAACACTGCATCAGGTAAGGTAGCTTCTGGCTTTGAACCTCCCTTAGTGAAATACTATCGGACTTACTTGGCTAATTGGTGAACGTGATGTCTTGAACCATTCAGCCTTTGGTGTAAGCCAAGACAACAATACTCACATAGATGTCTTCCCTATTCCGTCGTTGTTCTCATGACTTGGTTCATTTTGGCCTTGAACCCTTCTTGGTTCTGCAAGTGTTTTGAGAATTTAGCCTTTTAATAATTCTCATTGAAGCGGCCCCACTTCACACTTACATAGGTGACCTCCTATAAAGAGTATTCTGCCCTACTCCACTTGACTTAATCAAGATCTAGGAATCATTAAAAGATTATCTTAACCTCTTCCAACTCTGCAGAAAGCACTTTGGTATCATAGGAATGAGTTAGGAAATTATTTCCTAAGTGCTTCATGGAATCCTCATAACTTAGTTGTCCCTTTGAACCAAGATCTTGGGATCTCCAGTCAACAAGGTAGGATTACCATTACAAGGACTCTAACGTAGTAGGCTTTACCTCATTCCCTTCGATATGCAGTATTCTTGATCTCTCCTAGTAAATCTCTTTAAAGGTACCACGAGTTTACACCATTGAGATCAACTGCTTGGCGGTATTATGTCTTACCGTTACATGTGACTTAGTATCTTTATCAAATGTAGCTGGCCAGCGATTGATTTATTTAATAGATACACATTGTCACAGCCAAGAAATCCTCTCATGAAGCTACATGCTTCTTATTAGCTTTATCTAAAGCTATTTCAAACGCAATTGGAGGATTTTCTTATAGTCAATCATTTCTTATAGTTGAAGGGTGTTCAATTTCTAATATTGAACTGTCACAGTGTATTTGAACCTTATGAATATTCTTCAAATATTTCAATTGTTCTTGCTTCTTCTAGCCCTTCCAGTAACTGACTGACTACCACAGGTATACTTATGGAACATCTTCCAAAAGTTACGAAGCGAAGTTGTTTTGCTTCTTTTTC